TCTTCACTGAGATGAACTGCTTTAATTGTTGCCAAGGGTCTAGTAGATACGCATTTAGTTTCCTGTCTTATCCTGTCCACATCTGAGTGCAGGTTACCTTTACCACCCTTCTCTTTTTTTCTTCGTATTTAGGATTAGCCAGCTTGACTCAGGTTAGATGATCTCTATCTGATCAAGGCGTTCACCTTGGCCTTTCAAGACAGCCTTCTTGGCCTTCAACGCCTTTGCTTTGGCTTCAACTTTGGGCTCCATCTTCGATTAAAAAAAATAACAACCTTGCTCCCTTCTTAGGCACCTTTTGGTGGGATAGCGCCTGTACTCCCTTTTGTGTTTTGTGAATCTCCGCCTCCTCAAGAATTGTCTCCTTCGTGGTTACTTGGCGCAAGAATGGCAACCAAAGACCTAAACGGGGAGGAAGGAGCATTCTGTAATATCTTTTCCCTCATGCAGGTGGTAAAACGTTCACATCGTCTGCACCGGGAGTGTTGAAATTAAACATAGCCTGACGCATGTCCAGCTCGGAGCACCTGCACCAATTCAGTGTATGACCTCCACTTGCTGACAGTTTCTGGGATGTCACCATGGGGCAACAGGCAGCCATTACCCAGTCCAGCAAAGAGTGGGTCGCACGCCCTCCTGGTACATTCCTGTGACTGTTCTGCAGTCCGTGGCGTAACAGAGGCGAATTTCTCCATTTCCTGTTGGGTACACAAAATGCCACCCACCCCCAAGTTCCACAGTTGGCCCAGATCCTCCAATTCTGCCTGCGTGTAGGCTGTAGTGAACTCGATTGCTTGTAGATTACCTGGGCCTTGGGTTGCTGGGTTTTCATCTGTGTTGCCTCAGGTCAAGCCCTGAACCGAACCTCACTATCCCCTTCTTCCCTGCAAGAAGCCATTAGTTTGGGCTCCAGGCGCTGCTCCTCCTAATAGTCGTTTCGTTTACTCTGGGACCTGTACTTGTGATCTCAGCAGCTCCAGCTGCAAGGCTGTGAGGAAAACCCGGCCCACCTCCCCGACCGGGTATAAGCCCCCTTTTTCTCAAAAGCTTCCCCAACCGTATGGAGAGCTTTTTCTACCCGAGCGGGCAACCCATCCACCTCGGACCATTCCCAAGGGCGTGCCCAGCCCGAGAGGAGGGAGGCCACCGAGGACCACACACCCCTCTATCCCACCGGCCATTGGCGCACTGGGCTCCGAATCCTGCCTAGCCTGCCAATTGTCATACTGCTGATCGAGGTTCGCGGAGTCCTTAGTGGAATCGGACAGTCAGAAGAAGAAACGCAGAGCCGAGGGAAGGTGAGCCGTAGCCTTTATTGCAGTGTAGTGTCCAGCATGGCCCCGGAGAGAGGAAGCTCTTTTGGGTTTGCACGCCCATCCCTTTATATTGGTGGTGGTGTGCCGTGGAGTCGGTTCCGACTCTTAGCGACCCTGGACAGGGTTTCCGAGACTTCCGTAAATCTTTACGAAAGCAGAAAGCCTCATCTTTCTCCAATGGAACGGCTGGTAGTTTCGAACTGCTGACTGTGAGGTTAGCAGTGCGACTCGTAACCACTACACTACCAGAGTTCCTCTCCCTTTAAACTAGGGTACACAAAAGCGGCAAGCTACCAGCATTACATTACCACCTACAATAAACACGAGTCATGGTTACAAAAGCTCATTAACTTGGTCCTTCCAGCTGAATCGGGCGAGGGAGCCTAACCCACTCCCCATCTTTCCCACAGCATAGAACAGAAATGCCAGCGGCTTGGACGTCTTCGGTGCTGGGGAGCTCACTACCCCGGGGACTTCGGGGTAGGAATCAAGTCTTCATTCTCACATCCAGTTCCCTCACCCGGTTCCACTGCGTCCCTCCAACACCGGTTTCCCATCAGCACTTCCGGCAACTCTACCCTCTGCACACGGGGATGCGGGGCTGCCCGGACGCCACGCTGTGACACCGGAAGCGGTGGTGGCGCCCGTGACGTGAAATGGACGTGCCGGATGCCGCGGCTTAAGTTTAATAGTAGCCCAGTGGTGTCAAACTGTTAAGGTCCCTCAGGCTGCGGGCGGCGGTTTGGCTATGAAACAACAGAAGTTGCTCAAGAGCCGAGGGGTTTAGACTTGCGACCCCGGCTCCGCCAGCAGGTGCGGCTTCCGGGCTTCCCGGGCGCTTTCGGGGCTCATATCTCGAGACTCTGACACGGAAAACAAAAACAAACTTACTGCCACGGAGTCGATTCCGACGCTTAGTAAAACTAATAGGACAGAATAGAACTCCTCCTTAGGATTTCGGAGACTGTAAATCTTGTGGGAGCAGACAGCCTTCTAGGAGAGGAAAAAGGTCTAAATTAGGCAGAGATATACGCTTTACCGAGGACTAGGGTCTTTCACTTGGCGTTTCCGCCTTAATCTGTGTTTCTCCTGAGGGCTGGCGGAGGGGATTCCTCTGTGTGCCCAGAAGAAACCGAGGCTCAGGAGGGTGAAGTCGTTTGCTTCAGGTTACGCAGCTGGAAGTGACAGAAGTGGATCCAAAGCGAGCAGAGTCCTTGTTCTTTGCACTGCAGCAGGGTCCTCAAACTTCAGCTAAAGAACCCTAGGGTGGAGGTTGGGGTTAATGAAAACCAGATTCTGGAACGTCACAAATGAGGGTCGATGAGACTGGGGGATCTGCATTTCCAAATACCCTGGCTGTTAAGTATTTGGGGCACACATGCCGTTACCTAACTGCGAATGGGGCAAGGAGGTGAGCAGGTCAGAGCCCCTCTGGGGAATATAGCTAATGGAAGTGAGAAATTTTTACGATCTTGTTTGAAAGAAAATGTCAGACAGGGGCTTCCTCCACACATCTTGTGTTAGTGGAGTCTTGGTATTTAATTCTTCCATTAACTCTTGGCAAAGCCCATGTCATGTCCTCATTAATTAAACGAGAAGAATGACCTGCTAACTGCCTGGGGGGAATTTGTTAAGACGATTCTTGGCTCTAACTCAAGCTTTATTGAGTCTGGATGTTTGGAGATGAGGCTTTGGGGTCATTAGGCTAAATAAGTTCTAAAAATGGACTTGTTATGTTTGACAACTTGAGGTGTTAAGCATTCTGAGTTCCACCCATAGACTGGAGCCTCCTTGGTTTTGTAGCTGTGTAGCTGTGTATGCTCATGTAATTGCTGTGGGCTGAGCACTCAATGACTAAAGCATCAAATTAATACCTCTTGGTGTGGTGCTGTAGGATCAGCAATGGGCTGCAAACCATAAGGTCAGCAGTTCAAACCCTCTGCCACTCCTCAGAAATCCCATACAGGGTCACTGTGAGTCAGAACTGACTCACCAGCACTTAGCAACAACACCATTGATTTCCTGAGTGACTTTAGGTAAGTGATTTAACCTTTTGGTCTCCATACGTATGTTCACATCACCACCTCCTTACAATGCATGTTACAAAGATATGTCTATGTTGTTGTGTGCTGTCAAGTCATTTCCGACTCAGTGACCCATACAGGGTTTCTGAGAGTGGCTGGTGGGTTTGAACTGCCAGCCTTGCAATTACCAGTGTTTATGGTTCTTCTTAACCGACTCGAAGGCACTTAACAACAACAACAACATGGTTCTTCTTGGATCAACTGTCAGCACTCACAGAAGCAGCAGTCAAGAAATAAAATGATGTATTGCATTAGGCAAATCTGCACAAGACCTTTTTAAAGTGTTGAAGGGCACAGATGTCAGCTTGAGGACTAAGGTGCACCTGACCCAAGTCATGGTGTTTTCAGTCACCTCATATGCATGCAAACGCTGGACAGTGAATAAGGAAGACCGTAGAAGAATTGATACTTTTGAGTTACGATGTTGGAGGAGAATATTGAAAGTGCCATGGGCTGCCAAAAGAACCAATAGATCCGTTTTGGAAGAAATGTAGCCAGAGTGCTCCTTGGAGGCCAAGATGGTCAAACTTTGTCTCTCATACTTTGGACATATTGTCAGGAGGGACCAGTCACTGGTGAAGGATATCATGTTTGGTAAGGTGGAGGGTCAGAGAAAAAGAGGAAGACCCCCCAATGAGATAGATTGGCCAAGTGGCAGCATTGATGGACTCAAGCGTGGCAACAGTAGTGAGGTTGGCTCAGGATCGGGCAGTGTTTCGTTCTGCTGTGCATAAGGTCACTATGAGTCAGTACTGACTCAATGTCACCTAACAACAACAACAACAACAACCACAACAAATCCTTGTTATTAAGTGCTGTCGAGTCAGTTCTGATTCATAGCATCCCTGTATGGGTTTCCTGAGGAGTGGCTGGTGAGTTTGAACCACCGACCTTGGGATTATCCTACTTGTCCCAAATCAGATTTTCTGCAAGCTGCCAGGGAAGTTTGGTGCAGCCGCATGATAAATGATAGGATATGAATATGGAAATTCACGTAGAAATTGAGTCTTAGCCTGGTTTCTAATTTCCTTGTAGGTGATAATGAGAGTGTTTCAGTGTGCTTAGTTCTGCTCTTGAGGGATAATAGGAAAAATGTAGTTTATGGTAGGATTTTAGAATTTTCTAACACATTCTTGTGAAAGAATGGAAGGTTATATGACAAGATTACAAAAAATAAACACTAAAGCCAATGACAGTAAACTCCTGGATTGAGATATGTTACCGGTAGATTTTCTATAGAATCTCTGACTGCTCTGAGCCATCTCTTATCTCTGATGGGGCTATAATTACCTGTTGATAGTCCAAGCACAGTGGTTATGTGCTCAGTTGCTAACTAAAAGGTCAGCACTTTTGAACCCATCAGCTGCTCTGGAGGAGAAACCTGGAAATCTCCTATTAAGATTAAACACACATACAAACCAAACTCATTGTCACTGAGTTGATTTCAGCTTGTATCAACCATAGGAAACCTCAAGAGACAGTTCTCTTCTTATACAGGGTTGCTATGGCTAGAATTGACTGACAGCATGGCAGTCCAAGCTCACAATAAAGAAAAGCACTTTTTTTTTTTTTTTTAAATAGCATCTGCTGTGAGAATCAGAAATCTTGTGAAAGCTAAGTGCAGAAGCCTGTTTTGGTCCACATGGAGAACAAAAGGCAGCGAGCCCGAGTGCAGGGAGCCTGGGCTGGCCCTGCTAAGAGCCAGGCCACTGCTCAACCTGGTAAGAACCTGTGGGGATCTTGTATGTGTATGTATTTTATCTGTGGATGTGAACAGCCACTATCCTCTCATATCCTTCTCCTTAGAATAGACTCCCATTTCAGTTGATGTTAAAGTGGTTGTTTAGAATGAAGCTATTATTTTGGTTTTGTTCTTAAGATGAGGGTGATTTTTTTGGTGTTCTGTATTTTTAGTTATTACCCTCAGAACTTTCAGTGTGTGTCTTAAGATCTTCTGTTGAATTTACCAATTAATTTCTAGATGTCATCAGGGATATCACTAAGTGAATTGTATTGGCCTTTGCTCAGTAGACCGTGATACAAGCCAACTTTGCCCTGGTTTGACATTGTTCTCTCACTTTCTACAGCTGCCCCTGCTAAGAGACATCTCCATCAGAGGCCTAGCCAGATCTGGAGGAACCAGGAGCAGCATCTGTCTGACAGAGAGTTTCTGTTCAAAGAACCCCAGCAGGTAAATTCTTGTTTTCTCCTTCAACAGTAACAAAGATTGACTTATTCATATAATAGACACTCAAAGAGTTACTGAGTATGCTCACTAATAAATAAGAGAGTGAAAGGACTTTTATACTATTGGAATGTGCTGTATCAGTTCCTTAGTATGTCCCCAGTCTATAGTTATCTTACATTATACCTGTTCTTTAGGCAGGTAGGCTATACTGTAACTAGAGCTTGCATTGGTTATTCAACTTCTAACAGCCCTAAACCCATGTCTTCAGAACTGGTATAGCGAACAGCTCTGGAATTGCATTGAAATTTCTGTTATAAAATGCCTGGTTTTTAGCTCATTCTCCCCCCACCCCCCCACTCCACACACACACACATAGGGACTGATGTAATTAACAGTGAAGGTTTATGTTTTTGTTTTGTTTTAATAATTTTATTGTGGTAAAATATATATACCAAATATATATACAAAAACATCTGCCATTTTAACCGTTTTTAAGTGCACATTTCCTTGACATTAATTTCATTCCCCATGCTGTGCAGTCATCATCATAACCTATTTCCAAAAGGTTTTCATCACGTCAAACTGAGACTCAATGCCACTGAGGCAGTGACTCCCCATCCCTCTCCTTCCTGTCCCTAGTAACCACTAACAATACTTGTGTGCATTTGCCTAGTCTAGAAATTTCATGTAAGTGAAATTTCATGTCAGTGGAATCATGCAATATATGTCTTTTTGTGTCTGGCTTATTGATCACTCAGCATAATGCTTTCATGGATCATCTATGTCATAGCATATATTAGAATTTAAATTCTTTTTGTGGCTTAATGTTCCAATGTATGGATATACCATATTTTGTTGATTCACAGGTACTTGATTGTTGCCATCTGCGTCTTACTATAGATAATGCCAGAATGAACATTGGTGCTCAAATATCTGGGTACCTGTTTTCAGGTCTTTGGGAGTATCTACATAGGCATGAAATTGCTGGAGCACAGTGGTAGTTCTGCGTTCCATTTTGTGATAAATTGCCCAGCTGTTTTCCAAAGTAGCCGCACCACCTTCACACATTTTGCCTTCCACCTTCTGCCTTCTCACCAGCAGTGGATGAGGGTTTCAGTTTCTTCATATCCTCAGCACTTACTACTTTCTGCTTTTCTGATCATTGCCATCTATGAAGTGCTAGCTCAGTGTGCTTTCCATTTGCATTTGGCGTGTGGGATAAAGCAACGGACCGCAAGGTCAGTTTGAACAGATTGGCAGTTCACAGTCCCAGCTGCTCCTTGGAAACTATGAGTCAGAACCAGACTTGATGACACTTAACAATAACAGTGACTAATGACTTTGAACATCTCTCTGTTCATGTGGTTATTGGCCATTTATATATCTTTGAAGTCCATTGCCATTTAAAAAATGAGTTTTCTTGTTGTTGAGTTGTAGGCGTTCTTTATATACTAAAACCTTACCAGATATATGATTCCCAAGTATTTTCTCTCATCCTGCATGTTGTCTTTTCACTTTCTTGATAAAGTCCTTTGCTGCACAAAAGTTTTTAATTTTGGTGAAGTCTCACTTAACCTATACTTTCTTTTGTTGCTCAGACTTTTGGTGTCTTAAGCAAGGTATTGAAGTTGTATGGGTTTGTTTTGTTTTAATAGTTTTATGGCTTTAGTTCTTGTACTTAGGTCACTAATGCGTTTGTGGTGTAATTTTTGTGTGTGGTGTGAGACTCTGCAAGTGGAGACTTAGTTGCCCTGGCACTTTTTGTTGAAGAGCCATTCTTTCTTCATTGAATGAACTTAGCTCCCTTATAAGACACTCAGTTGGCCATAGATGTGGGTTGATTTCTGAAGTTTTAATTCTATTCTGTTCGTCTGTATGCAGACCTTTTGTCACCACCACAGTTTTTATTACTGTAACTTTACAGAATATTTTGAAATTGGGACCTGTGAGTCCTACTTTGTTGTTCTTTTTCAAGATTGATTTGGCTCTTCAGGTCTCTGCCATTCCACATAAATTTAAGGATTGACTTTTACATTTTTGCTGCTGGAATTTTGATAGGGGTTTACATTGAAACTGAAGATCATTTGGGGTAGTATTAACATCTTAGGAATATTCAGTTTTCTAATCTGTAAACACAGAATATCTTTCCATTTATTTAGATCTTCTTTCATTTCCTTAAACAATGGTATGTGATTTTCAGTGTACAAATCTTCCACCTGCCTGGTTAAATTTATTCCTATACATATATTTTTTAGATGCTATTGTAAGTGGAATTGTTTTCTTAAATTTCCTTTCTAGCTTGTTCACTGCTGGTCTGTAGAAGCAACTGATTATTTTGTGTATTGATCTTATATACTGAAATTTTGCTGAATTTATTTATTAGCTATAGTAGCTTTTCTCTGATTTCTTTGGGATTTTCTATATATAAGGTCCTGTCTTCTGTGAATAGAAATAGTTTTAACTCTTCCTTTCCAAGTTGGGTATCTTATATTACTTTTTGTTGCATAATTGCTCTGACTAGGACTTCCAGATTCAGTCAAGTTGCATTGATAACTACTGGTGATTGGAATGCAAAAGTAGGAAACAAAGAAGGGTCAGATGTTGGAAATAAGGCCTTGGTGATAAATGACACTGGAGATCACATGATAGAGCTTTGCAAGACCAATAGCTTATTCATTGGACTTGTCCAACATAGACAGCAACCAATTATTAATACGCAAATTCAAGTCGAAGCTGTAGAAAATTAAAACCAAGTCCTTGAGAGCCAAAGTACAACCTTGAATATATCACACCTAAATTTACAAAGTATCTTAAGAATAGATTTGACGCATTGAACACTAATCACAGAAGACCAGACACGTGAATGACAAAGAGATCATACATAAAGAAAATGAAAGGTTATTAAAAGACTGGGAAGAAAGTAAAGACCAAATGGATATCCAAAGAGATTTTGAAACTCACACTTAAATGTAGAGTAGTAGCTAAAACAAACAGAAGAAATGATATTATAGAGCTGAACAGAAGATTTCAGTGTGATCAGAGAAGACAGCTCAAAATGAAGAGAAACAGCTGTAAACATCCATTAATAATCAGAACATGGAATGTACAAAGTATGAATCTAGGAAAATTGGAAGTTGTTAAAACTGAAATGGAACACGTAAACATCGATAACTTAGGCATTAGTGAGCTGAAGTGGACTGGTATTGGCCATTTTGAATTTGACAACCACATGGTTTATTATACTGGGAATGACAAATTGAAGAGGAATGGTGTTGCATTCA